CTGCCACCTATGGGTCAGATGATTGTCTGCCAGCATTAAGCAATTGGTAATTAAATATTGAATTTTTTTTCCCTAAACAGCGTAAAATTTTGGAAAAAAAATTTTCACGAAAATTAATTGTCACGCACAACGAGTCTGTGTGCAAAATGTCAGCTCGATTGGATCACGGGAAGTGGGTTAAAAAACGACCGAAAGATTTTCACGGTCGTAAGCAAGCACGCAAGCAAGCAAGCAAGCGAACTTAATATAAAGGATTTAAAAAAGAGGTCCAGCCGAATAGGATGTAGGGGACACAGCAGTTACGAAAACTGAACTTTTTATTTCACCAGCTAAGGCCCCACTGACCCATATAGCTCTTTTTCAGAAGTGACCTGGTTCTCACAGATGATAGCTCAACGAAGTGGCTATTCAAGTGGAAATTTAAAGCGGGAGCCAAATACTCTAAATGCACATTTTACAAATGTAGAGCGCAAAACCGGAGGACCTGGAGAAAAATCCACGCGACCACGAACTTGCAATCTACAAATATATAGCGGGCGTCAGGGTCACAATCGAACCCACGACATCCTGCATACGAGGCGAGGGAGTTAACATCTCGACACCGCGGCCCCAAGAGGGTTTAGAATGAGGCTTTTGGGAAGACTGCAAAGGGAGTTCAATTCCACCCGCTGAAGAATCCTTCCGGCTGCAAGCATAAAGCGCGTGCTTTGACCTGCTTGTAAAATACTGTTTTCACGTACATGTCCCACAGTGCCACGTGTCAATTTATCAGTCCTCTATAGTGTACGGGAAAAAACGTCTATGCCCAAGCAGCCAACAGAGTAATAAAATAGCACTTGAAATGATATTTGTATTTATGGCAGTGACCTGGGTCAGAGTACCGGCTGTAACACCAATTACATTCATCTTATTTGTAACTATTTTACGGGCCCAAGATTTACAATGTTTGCACATTAAAAAGGGCCTTTTACAATTATTACACATAATAGCATTACTGCACTAGGCTGGAATGTAGGCATTCTGAAGCCTAAATATCAGTAGAAACGGCTCTTATGCCAATGTACACAGCCTGTAACACTATTCATTCGGCCAAAACAACATGCAAATGCACAAAAAATACAATCTACAAGGTCAGCCATTCAGGTTAGCATGACATTTTTCTCCCACACATTCTATTAGCTGTTTAAGTCTTGCAAGCTTGTACTCTGAAATGTCTTCGTTTGCCCCCTTTGCCTCTTTAGGGGTTTCCAATTAATCCAGGAGGACACTAAGAAGCATCAGGTAATCCTTGAAACCCTAAGAGACATATCGTTACCTGAGTTAGGGAAATTTGAGTAAACCCACTAAACCATGAAAATCCTAAAAATGTATCAGTATGACGAGTGCAAGCCGCTTCTACCGAATCGGAAAAATCCTAAATTTGCCTTAGTTTAGCTCTTCCCAAGTCTCAAGCATTTTTTAAAAATAAAACCCTATTCTGTATATTCAAATTAATTACAAGAATCCAGGAGGGGTTATTAAAAGTTTATACCACCATTTTTGGTACAGAATTATATTAGTAGATGAAATATATTACACGTGCGAAATCTAAACGTTTCACTGCTTTTCCGCAGACATGAATGACAGGCCCGCATCTCACGAGCAATTCATGAATACATGGTGTTCATTCATGAGCAGCAACACACGTTCACCACAAATACGTGTAGTTAATGCAGACTTGATTAGATGCAAAATGTATCTAATTGGTGTTTCAACATCCTAACACCTCGATTTAAAGCTTTCGTGACTGCAGGGATTCATCTTCTTGGTTCTTTCGGTAAAGACAGACCTGTTCTTCACCTGAGGACGGCTGCTTGCGTTGTGGCCGAAACGTCGTGAGAATTATTTATGTTTTTTATTATTTATTATTTCCCTTCTACGTGACTTTACCGAAAGAACCAAGAAGATGAATCCTAACACCTGTTTAATTGCCAGAAAGGGGTAAAACCTATAATAATTTTTCATATTTTGATACTGGAAAAAAAGGTCTCATGACACAAGAACCTGTTTTTGGGTCCAGGCAAATAAAAATACACACCTTAATTAATCTACACTTTGCTGTGCTTCATAACTCTTGTTTTTCAATACTTATCCAGCATTTGAACAACGCTTTGTGAGCCATGAGGCTGTACTGCTGAAATAATATACAAGTTATGGTGACAAGCACAATACTAAATGGAATATCACACAGCCCCTGCTTACCAGCCAGGAGTTTGCAACAATCTTGCGACATGAAACTGTACAAAACCTATACGCAGATATTACATTAGAAGTTGCATTTTCTGTCAAGTACATGTTACATCGGGGGTGTACGCAAGCTGCTTGTCACATTGGTGATACAAAACAGCTTTCATGTGACCTGATTTAAAAGGATTCATAGACAGTTACTGTCCATAAATATATGCCATATTTAAATAACCACAAGTCTCTGTCAGTCGTTTTCAATAATATTTACAAAGTGAGAGAAACAATTTCACCAATCTTCCTATGTGCAAGCCGCGTGAACTTCCATCAACCCTTCCCCATACGTTTGACTTTAAGAACCCCGATTCATAATGATAAAATAAAACATCCTCTGTTCAGGCACGTTTCCAAATTTGGGCACACCAAAATGTTAACCCCTGTTAACTTGATCACTGTAACAATCATCCCCACCACATATTGTTGGTATTACACATCTGTGGCTAATGTATGCATCTTCAAAACTTATTGCATTTATAGCGATGTTTTTGCTAATTGTACATAATATTTTACTGGTAGGAACCTCCTGGTTACACCAGCCCACAGGGGATTATTGTGTCCGTCCGTCCGTTGTGCAGGGAGGGGCTGGGTGGGGAGGGAGAGGCTGGGTGGGGAGGGGAGGGTGGGGAGGGGCTGGGTGAGGCTGGGTGGGGAGGAGAGGGTGAAGAGGGGAGGGTGGGGCGGGTGGGGAGGAGCTAGGTGGAGAGGGGCTGGGTGGGGCTAGGTGGGGGGTGGGAGGGGTGGGGCTGGGTGAGGAGGGGCTGGTCACCCCGTGGTGCCCTTATAAAACTCACGCCGGCTTGCACCCGCCCTCACAGTCGGGCATATTTGCGGAATACACCACGCCGCCGTTGACCCTGCAGGCCATTGACCGAGCAACCCAACGTTCCTACCAGCTCCCTCCGCAGGAATGTGTTCTATATTCTACATAGTTTAGGAAAATGATGTTGCTGAAGCGTGCATAATTACCGCGCCTCGTACACAAGGCACCGGAGCTTTATGTCTCAGAAGCTAAGCAGTGTTGCAACCACCCCGGTAAATGGAAGGCAACTGTAGAGAAAAAGTTATGAATGGAAAGGTTCCTGTGGGTTGTGGCATTATGAAGAACCAGTAGGGGGGCACTTGCTATTCCCTTCTGCGCCAGCTTGCTAAAGGTATTAATGTGCTGGAGTAATAGGGGATGACAAGCTGTAAACATGTTTTTGAACGTGACATTTAACTTGGCCTTCACGATCCCATGGATTAAAAAAAATATATTTGGTGAAATTAGTTTCATGCAGTGGGTATTAAAGTCAGTTTCCATGTCTTAATGTACTGCAACTCTATGCTGCAATCATTCTTGGCTAGTCAAAATTTCATTACTAAACCAAGGCTAGCCAGACTAATAGGGGGAATTCCTGGTGCGGTTGGCCACGATTTCAATGAAAATAAATGCAAAAAAAACAAAAACAGCAACCTCGGCTATTGTTCAGTATATGATACGTATATTTGCGTGTGCAGTGCATGTGTGTGTTAGTATACAGGACTCAAACCTAAAAATACTGAGGGCTGTATGGTGCTGTGCTGTACAGGATAGTGTGGGGAGTGGTAATGTATGCATTTAGAACTTATTTTGCATCGTATGTAGCCAACCGTGCTAATCGGAGGTGCGGTTTAGCGCGCTGCACTACGAACCAGATGGTCCAAGTTCGATTCAGGCTCACGGCCAACACCAGAGACGTTTACCTGAACCAGACCTGGGCCTCTCTGAGTTCAACTCGGCCTCAAGCGAGTACCTGGCGTGGTGTAAGAATCGCCACTAAGGACACAAAGGCGGCCGAGCTTGCTGCTGGCTACCTCGTGTGCTGTGCCGGCCTTCATTAGGTGCTGCTCACTAACAGCACTTGCCCCAACAGTCTGTTAAGGCTATATGGGGGATCTTTCTACAGCACGGTATTCATGTCCTTTGGTCCAGGGGAAGATGGTTCCCTCCACCCCCACCCCCACCGTCCCACACCTTCTCACCCTCTCCGCCTTCCCTCATTAGCCATTCGCCACCACGAGCGTGTTGCCGTCGCAAGTACATGCAATGCACAATAATTACACGGGACACAATTTAACATGTTAATTGCGAAATCAACCAAAGCCAGAGCTTGGTTAGCCGTGATTTCTTTTTACACTCTCTGGTAAACTGTTCACCTGCACATCGATAGATCAATAAGCACGAGTGTTAAGTGTGACACGACACTATGTTTGGTAGTGCTCCTGAGAGAAGATATGTAAAAGACACCTGCTTCATGAGTACAACTATCACAACAGAAACATGAGCATTACTGCAAAGGAAAAGATTGTGCACTCTGAGAAAGGGGGCATTTTTTGGTTATGATGCAGCGTCAATTGCAAGTATCGGTTTCAAAAGAATAAAAAAAAACACCTAATTTACAAACGCAAACAAATATTAGAAGAATGATAATTGCATTTAAGTTTTTCAGGTAAATAAAATGTTTCAGAGCGACGTGGTCAAGTATAAACACACACAAACAGGCAATATTATTATCAAAAGTACGAATTGTCCTTATTACACATGAAGATTAAAACGATGCGCAGTCACGGTTTGGAGTAATTTAAACCCGATGAAACACACTTTTTAAGAAACAAATGGGCTAGCATGAAATTTCATTTTTTTTAAATCCACGTTGTAAACACAGATTGTTGCGTGCCACCAGCGCAATGACCCTCACCTCTTGTAGCATTGCTTGAGAGCAAACGGCGCGTTTGAGCAGCCTCTCGGGAAGTTGAAGTCTTCTACAATGTCTTCCCAGAGTAGCTTGTCCGTAACCTGCGAACGCACACGTGCAGTTACAGACACACTTGTATTCAAGCATGCACGCACACAAAAACAGGCACGCGCACACACGAGTAACAAGCGGATTTGCACCGTGTAGACCACTACTGGCAACGTTGCAAAATATGTACACAAACAATGGAATAGACGCTTATACAAAGGCTAATATCCTAGGTCGCACAGACTGCCAGGGCAAGCGCTGTTGGCAAGCACTTATTGAGAACTGGCAAAACACACCAAGGATGTGGTGTTGCTAGAATCCAACAAAGCTGCCTTAGTTTCTTCAATATGTATACAGACCACATCAAATATTCATGACAGGCCGATTTGACCGAGAGGAGACTCGGAACGGGTTCTGATACAACTCGCCAATTATGTTACCTGTGGCTAAAAATCGAACTCTGGTCGTCAGGTTACTAACACAATGTGCTTTCACTACTGGGCCACCACCTCCTTTCCAAAAGATATGCGCATGCACGCGCACACACACACACACGCATGCACATAAACATGTGCGGGTGCATACAAGACAAAGATCCCCCGTATAGCCTTAACAGACTGGTTGGGCAAGTGCTGTTAGAGCACCTATGAAGGTCTGCAAGGCACACGAGGGTGTGGGTGGCCAGAACCAGTGGCTATGATTACACACCACTCCAGGTACTCATTTAAGGCCGAGTCGAGTGCATACACAAGCACAGGCAGACACACAATAGGAAACACAAATCAATGTCGACAGACTTGATTTTAAGCTTTCGTGACTGCAGGAATTGTCTACAGGTTAAACTTGCGGTGAGCAAAAAAAATTGGCGATGTAAGTTTGCAGAAAGAACCAGCAGAACTACAACACAATTTTGGATTGATAACATATCACTGTAACCGCGAAACATAAGCCACCATCACTCGAAAATAAACTGAGTTGAAAAAGCCCTATAGGCAAGTGCTGTGCGAAAAACGGAATTACAGTTTCTGAAATATGATTTGACCCATGCAAATCTGACTGTTGTTGGGGATTGATGGAGACACTTTCACTTCCTTTACTACAATGACACCACATGTTTCCGAATCTGCATGCTCATCATGTCGTTAATGGCTCGGGCTACAATGTTGAACTGGTAGCGAACAATTTTCACTGAAGTGGACAGAAAAGGTCAGTGAATCAATCTAAAATGCAACGAATACAGAAACACTTAGCATATTCATGACTGACATCTATAGCATTTCATTAAGTTAGAATGTTACTTCTTGACCAACTTGGTAAAACAATAAGAACAATCATTAATTTCAATGTACAATAATGTCAGTGTCCTGAATTGTGAGTGGTGTTGATCAAATTCCCCTGAATGTCAGACACCAGTCTCTCTAGACTCTGCAGGACACTTTCCAGGAATTTTAATAGCAACGTGCAAGTCTTTAAGCACGAGAATTAAACGCACTGAAGCAACCACGGTCCTACAACAAGCCTGCTTTCTTCGCATTTTCGAACGGGCTGTGCCTCTACAATGATCTGTCGCCCCTGATGTCTGCTGGAAATAATGCCTGCAATTTCCCCGGCCACGTCAACGTAGTGTTTTGAGATTTAGTCGAGTGAATGGATGTACAGTCATACCTCGGTATACAACCGCTTTGGAATACGTCGAATTTGGTATACGTCGTGTTTTGCTTGGGGTACGAAGCGCTTCGCTAGAACTTGTATGGGTCAGGATGAGCCCCGTCCACAACTCCTCCCCTTCCTCACCACCATCCTCGTAGGCTATCAACTTTTCTCAGCAAGGTCAAGTGATGTTAAATCATTTTTATTTCAATTTATTTTTATTTATTTATGCATTTATTTTAATTAGTAGTGTCTAAATTATTTTATACAGCCCCATTAATGTATTATATGCCACGTAAAATATCCTTTCGTATACTCTGGAACGGATTATTTCCTTTCCTTAATTTCTTATGGGAGAAATTAGTTTGCTATACGTCATTTTCGGTAGAAGTCCTACCTTCTGGAACGAATTAACGACGTACAACGGGGTACCACTGTATTTGTTTCTGCTCACGACATTTCATTAGGATGTAACATCCTCGAAAGCAGATTCCTTCAGCACTCCAAAAGATAATAGCTGCTGAGAGATTATATTAGTTTTGCTGCAGGATATTATTATTAACGCACAAAACTTCGCATCAAAATGCATTAAAAACAACTTTCCAATTAAAAGTGATAGAGGTCATGAAAAATAATCAAAGCCTATTTAGAGCCAGGACCGTCTGGAATTTTTTGAAAATGAGTACGAAGCTTTCGATTTAAAGCTTTCGTGACTGCAGGGATTCATCTTCTTGCTTCTTTCGGTAAAGTCACGTAGAAGGGAAACAATAAAATAATAAAAATAAAACATAATAAAATAATTCTCACGACGTTTCGGCCACAACGCAAGCAGCCGTCCTCAGGTGAAGAACAGGTCTGTCGGGGGTCATTCAGACGTTGTGTCTTCCGACAGACCTGTTCTTCACCTGAGGACGGCTGCTTGTGTTGTGGCCGAAACGTCATGAGAATTATTTTATTATGTTTTATTATTATTTTATTATTTCCCTTCTACGTGACTTTACCGAAAGAACCAAGAAGATGAGTACGAAGCTGTGCACCTCGAGAAGTCCTCAATGCCATCATTGTCCTCTCCTGCTGCTCAATTGATCATGCTGTGAGCAGGTCATCCCAGATAGGGGTGGATGTGCCACACAGCTCCTTCCAGAGGCAAGCGACAACAAAACCTTCACCACCTTGACGCCAGTGCGCCTTTTGGCGTCATCTGGTCCAACCCATGTGAGACTAGGCTCTAAGGAAAGCTGTCTCGGGTGTGGACCAATCAACTTCAAGGACAGTGCATATATTTCTAGATTTGAAGCTTTCGTGACTGCAATGATTCATATTCTTAGGTTTTTTTTGGTAAAGTCACGTAGGTAAAACATCAAAATTAATAAAAATAAAATAAAATAAAGATCACGACTTGTGTTGCCTCCGAAACGTCGTGATCTTTATTTTATTTTATTTTTTATTAATTTTGATGTTTTACCTACGTGACTTTACCGAAAAAACCTAAGAATATGACAGTGCATATATTATCAGAGTTATGTTTTTTGTTTGCATTATGACTGCAGGTATTGTGGTCTATGCAAACATGACTCCTCGTAAAAAAGGTGTCAGTTTTTTGCCAGATAAAAGGGTAAAAAAACAATTATAACACAGACTTCTGTGCGCGCTGGGCCCTCCAGAGTAAAATCACTGAGGGGCTTCTGATGCATAGGGTCACGTGATCTGTGGCGCAAAGTCCCAGAAGTGACAAGTGTTATTCCCCTGGGGCAGACTGTGTATTTGTTAGAACAGTCCGGTGTGTGCTGCTCACAAGGTCGTCTTCAAGAAAGATGGGATATGCCGATGGCTGGCGATTAGTGAAACAACGCCGTTGATATTTTTCCCTTGGCATTAAAGACGACCTAGAAAATGCACGTGCGAGTCCAGCCACTGTTGACTTCCCACCAAGTGATACTTTCTATACCATGACACAAAGCCGAGTGGGTGGGATGGCCAAGTAGACCAGGACCAGGATATTAACTCAGTCTCACAACCGCACGCTCGCTATTTTACCAGCTGATCTACTATATAACAGCCTTCGCGCTATGGGTGCTAGGAGCAAGTACCATGACCACAAAGCAGTTTCAAATAAAAAAAATCACCTTGAAAGCCTGTCATCTGAATGACTGATTACTCTTTCCTTTCTGTGAATAACCGTTCCTTTTTGTACAAACAGCACACACGGTTATCCATTAATATTGAGAACAGTGTATAATGGAAACTGCTGATAAGGTAATGTATAAATACAGAAACCATTCCAGTTCTTTTCTGACAATATATAACCGCTGTTGACCGCTAAATGACGGTGGTCTCGGCATGGTAGGTTTGCTGGGTTTATAGTGCATCACACATTATAAACAGATATTCCACACAGAGAGCAGTCATCTATCGGTTTACGCACTGATTCGTGCCATGTAGAAATTGCCTTTGGACCAAGCAAAACAAACAATATAGAATAAATTAGAGGTAAAAACATTAAGATTTTTTTTATGATTAACTTCACGAATCAAATTGTGATCATGCAGTATAATTCACTGAATTGCAGGGGGAAGTGGGCAATACACATGTAATGACAGGGTGACACCTACTGACATGACAGGGTGACACCTGCTGGCCTGGGAAGGGATTCACGGGTAAGGCCACAGTGGTAGCAATCAATCAGGGAAGGACGGAGGTGTCTCTGGGGCAAAGGTAACAGGTGGGGGCTAGCCGAGATACTCCGGGAACTGCTGGAAGGTTCCACGAGAGGGCGTGGCCGGAGGCGAGGCCTAGCCACGACTGGGGGGATATAAGGGAGAGCGGACCCGGGGCTAGGGGCTCGTGTGTGGGGTGCTGGGTCCTGGCTGCGTCGCTGTTCACCGACATCTCTCTCCGCCGTCCGGCCACGTGGAAGATCTCCTGCGTGGGTTCCATCGCCGTCGTCGTCGTCACGCCGCCAGCCAGCGGCGGAGACGAGTGAGGGCGAGGGGACCACGCCGAGTGATCGGCTGTGCGTGTAGCCGGTAGAGGTGTTATTGCCTAGAGTTATATTCGGTGTGAGGAAGAACCGGTGTTGACCTCTGTTGTGCCCAGTGTGAGTAATAAAGAAGAAGTAACCTCTTCTTGGTTCTTTCGGTAAAGTCACGTAGAAGGGAAGTAATAAAATAATAAAAATAAAACATAATAAAATAATTCTCACGACGTTTCGGCCACAACGCAAGCAGCCGTCCTCAGGTGAAACCAGGTCTGTCGAGGCGACAGACCTATGTTTTATTTTTATTATTTTATTACTTCCCTTCTACGTGACTTTACCGAAAGAACCAAGAAGATGAATCCCTGCAGTCACGAAAGCTTCAAATCGAAAAAGAAGTAACCTCTATACGACGTGTCGAGGAAGTCG